AAGCTACTCTCTGAAATAGGTTTTCTCCAAAACTTTGGCTTCCATTTTCTTTTATCTTTGTAGGTTGTATATGGAGGTGTATGACCTCTACTTTCATTGATATTGCTAACAAGGAGAACAGCCATCTGGTCCATTGACATTCGATCTTTATTTACTCCAAAAAGTTTTTCAACATATTTTTCTGCTGCAGCGGCAATTTCCTCATCAGTGCTTGTCTCTGAACAACCAATTAGAGACAGATTATATGACAGAATGTCCTGGAATAGCTGCTTTCAGCTTAGTGTATAGTCTTTAGTATGCTGCCACTGGCAATCATCATCATTACATGTTCCTGTTAAATCAAAGTGGCAGAAACACTGATATGGCTCAATCATGTTACTATATGACACTGAGCTCAGCGGAAATTTTCCCTTGGTTCGGTAGTAAGGACTAAATCTGTAGGATTTAAACACTAGAAGAGGACTACGGTAGGGTGTGAAGGGCAACGGTCTCACTTCTGTTGCTCTACACTGTTCTGGGCCAAAGTCCACATCCACAGAAATCTCCTGACCATGCAAAACTTTCTCTGTAATACCCGTGGTAGTTTTTAAGATCAACTGTTTCAAGCTGTCCACTTTTGAATATAATTTTTGCAATTCACCGATTTTTAACCCTAGAAAAAGTTCTGGTTTTTCTAAATTACTTTTAGTAGGTTTAGTTAGGCATTCTTTGTTAGATGTGTCAGTGTGTTTTAAGTTAGGTTTAGTGAAAGAATTGGATTCTATAAAGGATCTTCTTCTTTTTCTGTTTGAATCAGATAAAACTTCATCATCAACATCATTTTCCTCGGTGTCCAGGGTTAACTTATCTTGAGTCAGGTCATGAAGTGAGGGTTGAGGTAAAGAAAATTCAGATTCATCTTCTACAACGGTAGCAATACTCTGCTGTTCCTTTGCCTTAAGAGCACGAGCTTGTTTTAATTTCTGAATTTTCAGGGCATATTCATATTCTAGCTTTTGTAATCGTCTTTTTTCCATAGCAATTAGTTCTGCTGAAGGCTTTCTTGGGCTTGAAATCGGAGAACTGTCCAGTCTCATCATTTTGTTTGGTCCAAGATGATCCTGTTCCAGTTTACGTTTCCCTATTTCTTTACTAGCCACTGCCTTTGCACGAGCAAGCTCTTCTCCATATTTTAATGTTAAAGCTTTCTTAACTGTTACACGTTGCTGAACCTTGTGAATTTGTTCCTGAAGCTTCTTCAAAAACATTCTATTGACATTGAGGATTTTTTCAGTTGCTTGAAGCTGTTCTGTACGTTTTGTAATCTTTGTTTCAGCATTTCGAACAGATTCTTTTTTCTTAGCTTCTTGCTGTACTAAGTTTTTTAAAACAGATTCATCTTTCATCAAGAGAATCCTATGTTTTTTAAGTTTTGCTTCTGCATCTGTAACTTGCTTTGTAACCATCGCTATTCTGCCAATCCCATCAATTTCAACATCAGAATTTGCTGGGGATGATGAATTCGTCTTCAGTTGATCTGATTTAATCAAATGTTGTTTCTCACGATTGGCAATCTCTTCTTTTAACATTCTGTATTCAATTTTCTTTTCCTCAGGCAAAAAGCTTCAGGTGTTTGCATGGGATCGTTTTCTTTTTCAGATTTTGGAGGTACTTTTGGTTTTGATGCTTGCTCAGCAGTCCGCCTTGCTTCTTTAATCATGGACTCTAGTCCACCAAAAACACTATTTGTCAACTTATAAGCCTCTCCATCAGATTCACTATCATCTGAATCATTTAGTGTTACAACCACTGACTTATGTTTTGGAAGCGAGATCACAGTTCGTGGAAGA